TCTTAGATGTGTGATTCTAACATTTTACCCTGTTAACATTTCATTCTGCTTCTGTCTATAGTGTTTTATATTCATGGACATTTTAGGTTTTTATCTCTTCCTTTATGATTTTGGCCTGTGTTGTAATGTTTAGAAAGGCAGTGTTACCAGGTGGCTTGTAATACTGCTATGTTTTCTTTTTTTTTTTTAATTTAAAACTTGGATAATTCTGGAATTTTTTATCAGTGTCTTAGTGATCTAGTGCTGCCCTACAGAAATACCACAAGTGGATGGCTTTACAAAGAGAAGTTTATTCTCTCACAGTCCAGTAGACCACAAGTCCAAATTCAGGGCATCAGCTCCAGGAGAATGCTCTGTCTCTTTCTCGCAGCTTTGGAGAAAGGTCCTTGTGATGCATCAGTCTTTCCTTGGTCTGGGAGCTTCTTTGTGCAGGAACCTCAGGTCCAAAGGACACACTCTGCTCACAGCACTGCTTTCTAGGTGGTATGAGGTTCCCATGTGTCTCTGCTCGCTTCTTTCTTTTATATCTCAAAAGAGATTGGATTAAGACACTATCTAATCTTGTAGACATCATCAATATAATCTCATCATAGTGATAGAGTTTACAACACAGAAGGGGATCACATGTAACCTCATCATAGTGATAGACTTTACAACACCTAAGGAAGTCACATCAGATTACCCAGTCGTACACTACTGGGAATCATGACCCAGTCAAGCCGACAGACATTTTTGGGGGACGCAATTCAATCCCTGACAATCAGGTAGTCATCTTATTTTGTTTCTCAGTTTTTGTGCACTTTTTCTTAGTTTTTTTTTTTTCCTCCCCTCAATAATTTTAGAATACCCCCTTTTACATATACTGAGGTCTGTTTTTGAAGTTTGCATTTTGTTGCATTGATTGGTTTATCTTTATACCTGTACAATTTTGTTTTAATCGTATTCTTATTTTATGTTTTCATATCTGGCAGGAGGTAATTTACCTACTTCTGAAAATAAATTTGTTTTTCTTTATTCTCTTTAAGCTACCAACAGCTAAAAGTAGTCTATATAGCTCTTTAGTAGCCTTATTATTCTGTAGACGCAGAGTGTAGTATTAAACACCATAATAATTAGCTAAAAATAAATCATGCCTTTATTTTATTTTGGGGCCCTAGTGGCACAGTGTTTGAGAGCTACGGCTGTTAACTAAAAGGTCGACTGTTCGAATTCACCAGCTGCTCCTTGAAAACCGTATGGGACAGTTCTACTCTGTCCTGTAGGGTTGCTGTGAGTTGGAATCAACTCAGTGGCAACAGGTTTGGGTTTTAGTTTATTTTTTTTAAGTAGAGTTTATTTTTTAGAGAAGTTTTAGGTTTACAGAAAAATTGTGCAGCAAGTACAGAGTTCTGATTTACCCCTCCTCCCTGCACATGGTTTCTCATTAACATCTTGCATTCCTTTGGTAAATTTGTTACAGTTGATGAACCATATTGATACATTATTATTACCTGAAGTCCATAGTTGACATTATGGTTCACTCTTTGTGTTGAACAGTCCTATGGGTTTTAACAAAAGCTTAACGTCATGTATACACCATTACGGTATTAAATAAAATAGTTTCACTGCTCTAAAAATGCCCAGTGCTCCACCTATTCATCCCACCTTCCTCCCTCAGGACCCCTAACAACCACTGGTTTTTTTTTTCACTGTTTTCTATAGTTTCGTCTTTTCCAGAATGTTATATATTTGGAATCGTACAGTATGTAGCTGTTCCTGACTGGCGTCTTTCACTTAGCAGTATGCATTTAAAGGTTCCTCTGTGTCTTTTCGTGGCTTGATAGCTCATTTCTTTTTATTGCTGAATTATACTCCATTGTATGTACCACAGTTTGTTTACTCATTTACCTATTGAAAGACAAAAAATTGGTTGTTTCCAGTTTTTGGCAACTATGAATAAAACTTATGTAAACATTCGTGTGTAGGTTTTTATGTGCACATACATTTTCATCTCACTTGGGTAAATCCCTAGGAGTGCAATTGTTAGATTGAATGGCAAGACTAAGTTTAATTTTGTAAGAAACTGCCAGACTGTCTTCTAGAGTGGCTGTACCATTTTGCAGTCTACCAGCAATGAATGCGAGTTCCTGTTCCTCCATATCCTCGCCAGCGTTTGGTGTTGTCAGTGTTTGGGTTTAAATCATGCTTTAAAAGCTGGATGTGAGAATCATTACCAAGAAACCTAGACCCTCAGGTTCCTTTCCTCTAAGCTCTACTTCATAAAATATACAAATATATGAAGGGATTAGGATTGAAATCTTCTAGTTTCTATCAAAAGAATAAAAATCACCCTCTTAAACTCTCTTATTTTCTGATACGGTGTTATTTTCAAGAGGCAATATAGTGAAGTGGTTAAGAACATTAATTTAAGGACAGACTGCATGGGGTCAGTTTCCTGATCTGCCGCTTCTTATTTGTGTGGTTTTGAGCAGGTCATTTAATTGTATGTATCTCAGTTTCCTCATATGTAAAAGGAGAGAACAAGTTACTTACTGAAAAGCATTTAGAACAAGGCCTGACGCATATAACATCTCTGTAAGAAATAGATGCTGTTTTTATTTCAAGTTGGTATCCAAAATCCCATCAGTTCATGTTGTTTTTGGTAGCTGCCGTGGAGTCGCCCCTGACTCACGTTGACCCCTTGCACCATCCCCACGATTGGTTCAGATTGGGCCATTTTGATAGATAGGTTTTTTTTTTTTAATTTTTTTTATTGTGATAAATACATATGTAACAAAACATTTGCCATTTCAACAATCTTCACATGTACAATTCAGTGCATAAGGGATTTCATTGGCTGATCTTCCGAAGTAGATCCCCATTAGTTCATAGTTCTTAGTTAATTTGCATGTTTTAGATAAACTTGGTAAGGGTGGGTTGAAACCATTAAATCATTACCACTCCCCCAATTTAAATGTGAACTTTTTTTTTTCCAGTTATTTTGTTGTTGAAAATATAACACAGCAGAACATAAACAGTTGTGTAAAGAAAAAATGCAGAGGTTTATTACTTAGGGCATAGTTCAGAAAGTTTAAAACTTTAAGGCAGCAACTTTCTTAAATCCTATTTTCAAATACTGTATAGTAGGATACATCAATTTTCAGTCATTTATGAGCTGTAGTGAGGAGCCCTGGTTGCACAGTGGTTAAAGTGCTCGACTGCTAACCGAGAAGGTCAGCAATTTGAATCCACCAGCTGCTCTGTGAGTCAAAGATGCAGCAGTCTGCTTCTATAAAGATTTCCAGCCTTGGAAACCTATGGAGCAGTTCTACTCTGTTCCACAAGGTTGCTGTGAGTCAGAAGCAACCATGAAGACGGTGAGTTTATGAGTTACAGAACACATACAATAGAATTTAATTGTTTTTGCTTTACTAGTGAATACAGAGTAGTTGTACAACTTGTTTTTATTTCTCCTAATAAAAAATTCTGCTCTTTAAGTTTGCTGATAATGATTCATAAGCTATGTTTTTTATCTTATAGTGTTTTTACAGTATGTGAGTGTAATTATCTTGATCACTGTGTTTGTTCTTCTGCCCCAAATCAGAAATTTATCACATTGTTAAGCCCACAAACAGGATTTGGCCATAAATTCTACCTTTATTTTCCCCGAGTTATTCTGTATTGGTTAATAAATACAACAGTGATAACAGTGGTGCATTTTACTGTATACGTTCCCAGAAACTCTTGTTTTTCTGCAGCAGAAAACATGGAGTCATTTCTAAGAATAGCAAATCTTTTTTCACTGCAAAAAGGCAATTCCTTAGGAATGTCCAACCATCATTTGAAAATAATGTTTCTGCCTCACCTTCCAGAGCATATGGTAGTCTTCTCCCCCCAGCAGTTGTTCTGGATTTTGTTCTAGCCGTAGTTATGGATTTGTACATACATATCTACCTAATTTTACTTGGCCTCCATTGTAACTAGAGATTTATACCCCAGAGTATGCTGACTGACTTAGTTTGTAGTATGTGTTCATTGTGCAAAGTAGTTAACCTAGCCCGTTTGGAGAATGAACTCTAGACCTCGTCCTTTTTCTGAAACCCATGTTCTTATCAGCTGAATGTTAAGTACTTATAAAGCGAATGTAGTAAAATTCCTGCCTTCTAAGGTACTGCTTTATTTATATAGTTTATATAAATTTAAAAGTATTTGGTGAAATTGAGACAGAAGAAAAAGGACAGTAGTATTTGCCTCTTTTTAACAATGTGCATATGTTATTTGGGATAAATGTTCAACATATTTGTTTAAGTGTTTTTTTAAATAGCAGTTATAATTAGTCGAGCAAAAAGAATAAATAATGGTGGCATGGTTAGAAACCCTGCCAACTTGGATAGCTGTAGACATGTTCTGCATTTACTATCTGGTTTTATTTAAGGAATAAAAAGGTTAACAACTATTTAAAATGTTTCTTAAATATAACTTTTTATGTTTATTTTTTCAACAAACAAATAATTATATAAAAACCAAACCAAACCTTTTGCCGTCAAGTGGATTCCAACTCATACTTTGTATTTACCATGCACCAGACATTGTTCTAAGTGTTTTATAGATATTAATTCATAATAATTTACATACAACTGTTAAAATGTTTTTAAATGAATTGTAAGAGTTTGTTAACTTTCCTGGGAGCCTTGGTGACACAGTGGTTAAGCGCTTGACTGTTGACTGAAAGATTGGCAGCTCGAACCTGCCAGGCGCTCCATGGGAAAAAGATGTGACAGTCTGCTTCGGTAAAGATTACAGCCTTGGAAACCCTACAGGACAGTTCTACTCTGTCCTGTAGGGTCGACTCAATGGCAGTGGGTTTGGTTTTTTTGGTTTAGTTAACTTTCCTTTAGTATTAGCATCTTTCCTGATATTAGTGTGTAATCATACTGACTTTGAATACTAGTATTATATTATAATTAAAGTAGATATTAAGTTAACAAATCTTTTTTTTTTTCATTCATTTTTTATTTTAGCTTTACCAACAGGGACGCCTGTGTCAGCTGGGCAGTGAATTTTGTGAGTTGGAAGTTTTTGCTAAAGTATTGAGAGCTTTGGATAAAAGGTAAATTCATTTTCATTTTCAAGTAGCACTTTTTTTTTTTTTTTTTTTCACTAATTCGTTGTATAATTAATAAAACCCATTGCCGTCGAGTCGATTCCAACTCATAGTGACCTTCTAGGACAAAGTAGAACTGCCCCATAGGGTTTCCAAGGGGCTCCTCGTGGATTCGAACTGCCAACCGTTTTGGTTAGCGGCCAAACTCTTACTAGGATAGATAAAATAATCTTGCCTTTAATAAGTGTGGTGCCAATATAAGTCTATGAAATTGTTTCACTGAGAAGTTGTTTCAGATTGGTTTTTCCATGTATCTGGTATGTTAGGTTATTTTCATTTTGGAAGTGAATTCTTTTTTTTCTTTTTCTTTTTTTTTTGGAGTCCTGGTGGCACAGTGGTTAAGAGCTCAGCTGCTAACCAAAAGATTAGCAGTTCAAATCCACCAGCTGCGCCTTGGAAATTCTGTGGGCCAGTTCTACTCGGCACTAAGGTCTCTATGAGTTGGAATCAACTTAATGTGATGGACTTTAATCCTTTTTTTTTTTTTTTTTTTTTTGTACACTTGTTACTAATGTATAACATACATACAGAAAAGTACCCTAATTGTAACAACATGAACGTTCACAAAATAAGCACCTTCATGTAGCCAGCACCTAGATAAAGGAAAAAAATGTAACTAAACCCCAGAAGCTCTGTTCTGCCTTCTTCCAGTCACTATTCCCTCTCCTAGGGTAACCACTAGATTCATTTTGCCTGTTTTTGAGCCTTAGATAAATGGAAGCATACAGTATGTATTCTTTAGTATCTGACTGTTTTTTGCTCAGTAGTATGTTTACGAGTATCACTCACGTTGTATGTAAAGTTTGTTCATTTTCGTTGCTGTATATGTATAGTACTCCATTGTGTTAATATATTTTTTACTCATTCCAGTATTCTCAAACATTTGAGCTGTGTCCAGTTTTCAGCTATTAAAAATAGTGCTGTTGTGAATATTCTTGTACATGTCTTACGGTAAACATAGTTATGCATATCTGTTAGATACATACCTAGAAGTAGAATTTGGAAACTGTTTTTAAGATTTACAACTCCAGTGTGCCGGCCAGTATGATATAGAATGTAGTAAAAATATTGTTATGGTAATTGTGCAGTCCAAACAAATAAGCTTGTTGACAAAAGAGAGAATTTGTCCTTCTTCCCCGTCCGTCCTCCTTCCCCTTTGGGAAGTTAATATTCTGGCAGTTTTAGCTTTATGTGTTCAACAAAGGAGACCCAATTCATCTTCCCTGCTGTAGCTGTTATCATGTAGTAGGAGCCACACAGATACCACTGCCTTTGTATCTACTGTTCACTTTAGCGTTCTTCCCTAAATTTGCCTTAACTATCACTTTTTTCTAACCCACATTTCTGGAAAATAAAAATACAGTTTCACAAAATACTGCTGATTTCTAATATGAATATTGCCAAATTATTTCATTTGTTCAACAAATGAATAAACACTTGCTGAATGCCTAGTATATGCCAGACACTGTCCTAGATGTTGAGGCAGTAAATAAGCTCTACAAAGTCCTTTCCTCATGGAGTTTGTATTTTAGAGAGGGATGGTAAGATAATAAACAAGTAAACCAATGCAATGATTTCATTGGTCAGGGATAACTTTGAAATGTGACCTGTGTACTAAGTCTATAGAGAAACTTCTTGGCTAGTTGATTAAAATTAATCTGTAAAAAAAATAATAGAAGATAACTTCTCCATTTTGGTAAACGAAGCCTATAGAAAAGCTTTTGAAAACATTCTTTAAAGATAAGGTTAGATTTCTGGGATTAGAATGTCTCTATGCATTTCTAAACATGGCCACTGTAAAGCTTTAGTGGAATACCTCTTTCATCTCTTAGGTTATCTCTTGTTGTTGTTAGGTGTCATTGAGTTGATTTTCAACTCATAGTGACCCCGTGTGACAGAGTTGAACTTCCCCATAGGATTTTCTAGGCTTTAATTTTTATGGGAGCGGATCATCAAGTCTTTTCCTCCCCAAAGCCTCTGGGTGGATTCAAACTGCCAACCTTTAGGTTAGCAGCTGAGCACTTAACATTGCGCCACCAGGGCTCCTTAGGTTATGTCTTACTAAATCCAAATCCCTCGGTGTTCTAGTTATCTAGTGCTGCTATGGCAGAAATACCAGCAATGGGTGGCTTTCACAAACAAAAAATTATTTTCTCACTGTTTAGGAGGCTGGAAATCCAGATTTAAGTGTCAGCTCTAGGGGAAGGCTTTCTCTCTCCGTTGGCTCTGGAGGAAAGTCCTTGTCTCTTTTCAGCTTCTGTTTTCTTGGTTCCTTGGAGGTCTCATGTGGTGTGACATCTGTCTTCCCCCAACTGCTTTTTGTTGCTTGCTTAATCTGCTCTTTTATAGCTCAAAAGAGATTGATTTAAGACACACTCAACAATAATACTGTCTCATTAACATAACAAAGAAAACTATTCCCAAATAGGACTATAACCAGAGGTGTAGTAGGATTTACAACACAGATTTTTGGGGACATGATTCAGTCCATAACACTAGGTAAGTGTTTAATTGTAAAACTATAAGTATGTAATTTGACCTTTTTTCCCTTTGTCCAAAGCAGTGGCTCTGTTGTTTACAGTTTCATTTTTAAAAATTATTTTGTTGAAATTAATTCACATACTATAAAATTCATAATTTTTACATCTACAGTTAGTGATTTTTAGTATATTCATGTAGTTGTGCAATCATCACCACCACCTAATTTCAGAACATTTTCATCTACTCAGAAAGAAACCTTGTACCCATTAGCAGTCACTTCCTTATTCCTCCCTCTTCGTAGCTCCTGCCAACCATTTATCTGCTTTCTGTCTATATTTGCCTCCTCTTGACATTTCATATAATAGGAATTATGCAATATATGCTCTTTTGTGACTGGCTGCTTCCATGGACGTTGATTATGGATCCAAGTAAAATGAAATCCTGACAACTTCGTTATTTTCTCCATTTATCATGATGTTGCTTATTGGTCCAATTGTGAGGATTTTTGTTTTCTTTGTGTTGAGGTGCAATCCCTACTGAAGGCTGTAGTCTTTGATCTTCATCAGTAAGTGCTTCAAGTCCTCTTTGCTTTCAGCAGGCAAGGTTGTGTCGTCTGCATATTACAGGTTGTTAATGAGTCTTCCACCAATCCTGTTGCCACGTTCTTCTTCATATAGTCTAGCATTCTTGGTTTATTTGCTCAACATACAGATTGAATAAGTATGGTGAAAGGATACAACTCTGACTCACACCTTTCCTGATTTTAAATCATACAGTATCCGCTTGTTCTGTTTTAATAACCACGTCTTGGTCTATGTACAGGTTCCTCATGAGCACAATTAAGTGTTCTGGAATTCCCATTCTTTGCAATATTATCCATAATTTGTTATGATCCACACAGTCAAATGCCTTGGCATAGTTAATATCTTTCTGATATTCTCTACTTTCGGCCAAGATCCATTTGGCATCAGCAATGATATCCCTCACTCCACATGCTCTTCTGAATGTGGCTTGAATTTCTAGCAGTTCCCTGTGGCTGTACTGCTGCAACTGCTTTTGAATGATCTTCAGCAAAAATTTACTTGCATGTGATTTTAATGATATTGTTTGATAATTTCCTCATGCTGTTGAATCACCTTTCTTTGGAATGGGAACAAATACGGATATCTTACAGTGGGTTGACCAGGTAGCTGTCTTCCAGATTTGCAACTTGAGGCTTAAATTTTTTCTTCAGTTCTTTCAGCTTTAGAAATGGTGAGTGTGTTCTTCTCTTTCGGTTTTCTAACTTCAGGTCCTTGCACATTTCGTTGTAATACTTTACTTTGTCTTTTCGAGCTGCCCTTTGAAATCTTCTGTTCAGCTCTTTTATTTCATCATTTCTTCCATTCGCTTTAGCTACTGTACATTCAAGAACAACTTTTAGAGTCTCTTCTGATTTCCATTTTGTCCTTTTTTTTTTTCCCTGTCTTTTTAATGACCTTTTGCTTTCTTCACATGTGATGTCCTTGATGGCATCCCACAGCTTGTCTGGTCTTTGGTCATTAGTGTTCAGTGCCTCAAATTTATTCTTAAGATGGTCTCTAAATTCAGGTGGGATATATTCAAGGTCATATTTTGGTTCTTGTGGACTTGTTTTAATTTTCTTCAGCTTCAGCTTGAACTTGCATATGAACAATGGATGGTCTGTTCTGCTGTTGGCCCCTGGCCTTGTTCTGACTGATGATATTGAGCTTTTCCATCATCTCTTTCCACAGATGTAGTCGGTTTGAAACCTCTGTTTTTCATCTGGTGAGGTACACATGTACAGTTGCTATTTATGTTTTTGAAGAAAGGTTCTTGTAATGAATAAGTCATTGGTCTTAGAATTCTGTTACGCTATCCCTGGCGTCATTTCTATCACCAAGGCAGTATTTTTCAATAACAGATCCTTCTTGTTCGTTTCCAGCTTTTGCATTCCAATCACCAGCAGTTATGAATGCATCTTGATTGCATGTTTGATCAATTTCAAACTGCAGAAGTTGGTCAGAATCTTCAGTTTCCTCATCTTTGGCATTATGGTTGGTGTATAAATTTGAATAACGGGTTGTATTAACTGGTTTTCCTATAGGCGTATGGATAGTATCCTTTCACTGACAGCGGTGTACTTCAGGATAGATCTTGAAATGTTCTTTTTTGACGATGAATGGGACACTATTCTTCTTCACTTTGTCATTCCTGACGTAGTAGACCATATGATTGTCTGATTCAGAATGGCCAATACCAGTGCATTTCAGCTCACGGATACCTAGCATATCGACCTTTATGTGTTCCATTTCATTTTTGACACTTTACAGTTTTCATAGATTCATACTTCATACATTTCACATTCTGATTATTAATAGATGTTTGCAGCTGTTTCTTCTCATTTTGAGTCTCACCATATCAGCAAATGAAGGTCCCGACAGCTTGACTCATCCGTGTCATTAAGGTCGACTCTAGTTGGAGGAGGCAGCTCTTGCCCAGTCATCTTTTGAGTGTGTTCCAACCTGAGGGGTCATCTTCCGGCACTGTATCAGACAGTGTTCTGCTGCTATTCATAAGGTTTTCACTGGCCAGTTTTTTTAGAAGTAGATCGCCAGGTCCTTCTTCCTAGTCTGTCTTAGTCCGGAAGCTCAGCTGAAACCTGTCCACCATGAGTGACGCTGTTGGATTTGAAATATCGGTGGCATACCTTCTAGTATCACAGCAACACACAAGCCACCTTAGTACTACAAACTGACAGACATGTGGGGTAAACCAAGCTAGCCCTTTTTAAAAGGACAAAAAAATGTTTTTTTTATAAAATAACTTTTTTTTTCCCATTTCAGACATTTGCTTCATCATTGTTTCCAGGCTTTGATGGATCATGGTGTGAAAGTTGCTTCAGTCTTGGCCTACTCATTCAGTAGACGGTGCTCTTATATTGCAGAATCAGATGCTGCAGTAAAAGAAAAAGCTATTCAGGTTGGCTTTGTTCTAGGTAGGTAATAGTGAAATAGAGGAATGGTTTGTCCTGTGACATGGGTCAGAATAAGCCTGCTTATGACAAAGGATTCTCTCAATAGTTTCACATAGTCTGAAATACTAGGTTATGAGAAAAATGTCAGAAAAACTGTGTGTACTACTAATAGGTGTGATTTATTGACTATTAACATGTTTTGGGCAGTTATCTATTAAAGTTGTTGCTACTTTTTAATTTAATTTTTTTTATTTTGAAATGATTACAGATTCACAGGAAGTTGCATAAATAGTACATAAAGTCCCTTGAACCATTCCTCCAGCTTCCCCAGTGGTGATATCTTATGTAACTGAAGGACAGTACCAAAACCAGGATGTTAATATTGGTACAGTACTGTTAATTACACTAGACTATAGACCTTGTTTAGTTTTCACCAATTTTTATATACACGTGTGTGTCTGTGTGTGTTTCTTTGCAATTGATTCCACGTAAAGATTTTTATAACCACCACTGCCATCAGGATACAGGATTGTTCCATCACTGCAGATCAACTTTCATTTTTAACTTACATGTTAATGTGCACATGTGCATGTTTTCTCTTTCCTATGTATGCGCTCTCTCTCTCTCTCTCACACACACAAACACACACACATACACACTACATTCTTTGCCAACAAATTTTTATGATCATTTCCCTTCAGTCTAAGAACATTTCTAGGTAGTGATCACAGATACTTGTCAAGAAGAACTTCACATATTCTTTTCTTAGAAGAATCCTCAGCATTTGTCTTTTCATAATTCCCACAGAATATAAATTGCAACAAAGAAATGTCTTTAACAATAGAGTGTGATCTTGATGAATATTAATGGTGATGTGTGAAAATCTGTGGGAGAAATTTAGTATCAAAGAAGGGGAAAGGCAAGAACACTAGTGGTCATTGTGACCCTCTCTCATCTCCACAAAAACTTAAACTATTCTGACCATTGAAATGAGCAAGAAGGTAGAACCAAGCCCTAAGAAACTCGTAATTATGTTATCTGTCTGTTATCTTTAAATTATCAAAATAGTGAAAAAACTTCATACCAGAAGTATATGGCAGATAGAAACAATTATTTTAATAACAGCTTTATTGAGATAATTTACATACCATACAATTTACCATTTTAAAGCATACAATTCAGTGGTTTTTAGTTATCTTCACACAGTTATGCAACCATGAGCACAGTCAATTTTAGAACATTGTTATCATTCCAGAACGAAACCCTATACTCATTAGCAGTTATTCCTCAACCCTCTTGGCCCTAGGCAACCACCAGTCTACTTTCTGTCTCTAAAGAGTTGCCTTTTCTGGACATAATGTATAAATGGAATCATACAATATATGGTCTTTGTGACTGGCTGCTTTCATTTAGCATGATGTTTTCACGGTTCATCCATATTGTAGAGATATAAAGAATATCTAACCAGGTATTAAAGAACTAAAAAGACAAAAAGGGAATAAATACTAGAGTATCATGGACATAGCTACTGTAAGAAGAATTAATATTAACATGTTAATATTCACACCTAGGACTTGTAGAACCAAGGATGGGTTGGAATTATTAACATTTAATAGCTTGAGGACATGCCCTGCAGAGCTGGGATGTTGCTAGGCTGATCCTGGTACCTCTGGAGCTCTGAAAAGGGGCCCCCGTGGATCTACGCCCTAAACCTCTAGGAGGACACCTGACTGGCCGGTGCTAGTGTCTCTGAGGGAGTGTTATGAAACTGGTTCTGCAAGTATTGGGAAAACTAACTGGAATTGGCTGTTGCTTACTGGAATGAACTGCTACTACCAGGGTAAAGAAACATTACTCTGGGATGTTTCTATTAACAGGGTCCATGCTGACAGAGATGGAAAGCAAATAGGAAGGAGTGTCCCTTCTTCTCCACACTTGCAAGCTCCTTTTATTGACATCTATTGGCAGAGCCTAACAGGAGCCCTGATGGTACAGTGGTTAAGTGTTTGGCTGCTAACCAAAAGGTCTGCAGTTTGAATCCACCGGCTGCTCCTTGGAAACCCTGTGGGGCAGTTCTACTCTGTCATATAGGGTCACTATGAGTCAAAGTTGACTTGATGGCATCAGGGGAACAGGAGTCACTTGACAAAGGAGAAATGTGGTTTTCAGAGTCCTAGTTCCAGCATTATAAAACAGAGTCTAAAAGGGTGGATATGAAGCTGAGAACCAATGGCCTGATAACCAGCCAAAATGCAATATGATAGAATGATCAGAAGATGGCTTAGTGTGAATATGTATACTGTATTTATGTTTGTTTGCCAACCGCTCCCTCCCCTCGCAAGATATATTCCTAAGTGCACTATGAAAATTTTTTTTATAGCAACTTGTAAAAAAATTATTGTGAGCTAAGAAAATACCTCATGGGGGGTGGGGGGAGGAAGCGACTGACAAACAAATGAAGGTGTGCGTTATTTGCATAAAAATACAGTAATAATCATTATTCTAGTCATTTGGTGAGGGCCCCAGAATATTCTAAAGCACAGTTCTCACCAATTGATAAAATAATATTCATTTGATTACATATAGGTTTAATTAAACATAAAACATGGATTTTAGCAAAGTACAATATTTTACAGACTCTGACACTATAGATTTGTAAGACTACCGTATTTTTTGTGCTACCATGAAAGAAAAAAAAGGTAGCTAGCTATTTTCATCATAATATACCATCAATTTTAAGATGTAATTTCATAAATGTTGAAATATGAAAAATGTGTTTTAGAATTGAAGAAACAAGGTATGTTACTTTGTTTTCTGATCGTTATAGCTGATCCTGAATAACACTATGAAAGTGTTCTTCATAGTAGCTAATGTAGTATAGTAACTATGGGGTTAAGCTCTGAATTCAGATTGTATGGATTCAAGTTTGTCCACTTACTGGTTTGTAAGCTTTGGTTTCTCTGCCTCATATTTTTCATCTGTTAAATGGGAAGCAAGAATAGTGTTTAAATTGAAGATGTGTTGTGAAAATTAAATGAGAAGATTAATTCATGTGAAACGGTTACCACAGTGCAAAGTAGTTTGCACAGTGTAGTAAAAATGTGTTAAATGTTAACCATTGTTGGAGGTCAAGATCCTCAAAAAAGATGGACGGTATTCTGAGGAAATTATGCCTAGTACTTCAGGATTGTAGGAGGACAGCAATTTAATTTCTTGCTAAAAGCATGAGATGAGCAAACATCACTGTCTTATGTATGCATCCTCTATGATGTGCTGCTATACTGAGAAGATTATTTAGATTTCTTTATCCTCTTTGGGATTGGGTATGGAAAGATGGAAAAGTTATGTGTACCCTGCAAGATGAAAATACTAGGAGAATTGTTAAAATAGATAGTAGATGATTAGCTGAAAAATGTTAATTCAGGCCATGGAGTATTCCTAGAGGGTTAAAACTCTTGGCTCGTTAATCAGGGTCTCAGCTTTGATCTTAATTCACCTAGTTCAGGACCTTTTTTTTTTTTTTTAAGTCACAATTAGTATCTTTGCTTTAAGCTAAGCACAGGATTTTAATATTTTTTTCAAGTTTAGGTAATATTCACTGTAAGCATGTCATTTCAGCTTTCAAATAATTCATTCAGTTATCTAAAATTACTGGTTTTTCTTGTCCTTCAGGTGGCTTTCTTTCAGATGCAGGCTGGTATAGTGATGCTGAGAAAGTTTTTCTGTCCTGCTATCAGTTGTGTACTATACATGATGAGATGCTTCATTGGTTTCGTGCAGTAGAATGTTGTGTGAGGTAAGTTGGAACAGATCTTACAGTATGTGCTGTAGTAGTACTTGGTGGTTTTTATAGTTTTAGTTCTTCTGAGTGTCCACAGAAGCAGAAGTCAGGAAATCAAACAACATACCGCATTGGGCAAATCTGTTGCCAAAGACCTCTTTAAAGTCCAGATAAGCACAGTTGTCACTTTAATGACTAAAGTGTACCTGACCCAATCAGTCATGTTACGTGCATGCAAAAGCCGGGCAATTATAAAAGAAGACAGAAGAAGAATTGATGCATTTGAATTGTCGTGTTGGCAAAGAATTTTAAATATACCATGGACTGCCAGAAGAACAAACAAATCTGTCTTGGAAGCGAGGATGGCAAGACTTTCGTCTAACATACTTTGGATATGTTACCAGGAGGGACCAGTCCCTGAGGAAGGACATCATGCTTGGCAAAGTAGAGGGTCAGTGAAAAAAAGGAAGACCCTCAACGAGATGGATTGACACAGTGGCTGCAACAATGGACTCAAACAGCAATGATTGTGAGGGTGGTGCGGGACCAGACAGTGTTTCGTTTCGTTCTGTTGTACATAGGGTTGCTATGAGTCAGAACAAACTCAGTGGCACCTAACAACAGCAAAAGTTGTTAACTAGAGTCTGGTCAGTTTACTGAATTTTTAGTCTTTTATTTTTGTTGGAAGAAGGCTCATACTTTCTTGTTATGTTAGAGATGAGTTCATTAAATTTGAATCTCTTCAGAGCTAGAACATAGGTTCGCCTCTAAAACCATCATTGGTTTAAGATAAAATGGAATAAAGCCATCTTTTATGTTTTTAGCAGTTGGAGTCTTTTATAGTCTTTTGAGTCTTTATATACAGGGCTTACCAATGTTAGAGAAACATTCAAATCCTGAACTTAATTTTGTAATATGCTAATTTAAGTATAAATAATATATTAGAAGTTTATGATAATTGCCCACAGATATTTTAGAAGCATATAATAAATTATAGGAATATTTTTGTGCATAAACTATAAAGAGATTGGTATTTTGGCCTATAATTTGTAGTGCTGATAAAAATAATCTCTATCATCTTCCCTCTCGTCTTCTTCATATTTTATCTAGGTAGGAATAGGAGAATACTGTATTTTTACACAAATAATGCACACCTTCTATGTTTGTTTGCCAACTGCTCCCTCCTCTATCAAGGTATTTTTGTTAGTGCTCTGTGCTGATTTGTTTTTATAGCAACATATAAAAAAATTGGAATAGCAGCACTTGTGAAAATGTTCCACTGGAGGAGGCAGCAATTGGCAAGAAACGTTGAAGGCACACGTTATTTGCCTAAAAATGAGTAGAGTATCCCATATGGGATCTTTGTGGGTAGTTAAATGTTTCTATTTTCATGAACTAGTAAATTTGAAACAGAAAAGCCATTTTGGATGCTTTTGTTGTAGATTCTTCTTTAGCAGTCTTTTGACTAAAAAGTAAAGCACTTTCTTTTTGTATGTGCTTGCCTTTTTTTTTTAATGTGGATGGCATACAACATCAACAATGAATATACATGTAATAAAATATTTGCCAATTCAACATTTTTAATATGTACGCTTCAGTGACGTTAATTATGTTCATCATGTTGTTCAACCCTTACCACTATCCATTTCCAAATTTTTCCATCACCCTTAACAGAAGCAGTGAGTCCCCCTTTACACCTCCTGCCCACCTGCCCTTGGTAACCACTAATGAACTTTGATCTCTGTACATTTGCCTATCCTAGATGTTTCATGTAAGTGGGATCATATAATAGTTATCCTTTTATGATTGACTTTTTCAGTCAGCATAATGTTCATCCATGTTGTAACATGTATCAGGACTTCGTATCTCTTATTAAAAAAAGTGAACACCAACCCCGTTGCCTTTGAGTCAGTTCCGACTCATAGCAACCATATAGGGCAGAGTAGAACTACACTGTAGGGTTTCCAAGGAGTGGTTGGTGGATTTGAACTGCTGACCTTTTGGTTAGCAGCCGAGCTCTTAACCACTGTGCCACCAGGGCACCCCTATCTCTTATGGCTGAGTAATATTCCATTGTATGAATGCACCACATTTTGTTTATCTGTTCATCTGTTAATGGACACTTAGGCTGTTTCCACCTTTTGGCTATTGTGAATACTGCCACAATGAACATTGGTTTGTAAGTATCTGTGTCCCTGCTTTCGATTCTTTTGGGTATGTAGGGGTGGAATTCCTGGATCGTATAGTAGTTCTGTGTTTAACTTTTTGAGGAACCACCAAAATGTTTTCCACAATGACCGTACTATTTCAAAATCCCACCAGCAATAAATGAGGGTTCTAATTTCTCTGCATTTTTGCCAACATCTGTTTTTTTCATTTTTTTTTTTTTTTAATTGTAGCCATCTTAGTGGATGTGAAGTGTTATCGTGGTTTTGTTTTGCATTTTCCAAATGACTACCATATTTTTTTTGCAAATAGTGCGTGCCTTCTGCGTTTGTTTACTATCCATGCCCTCCCGCTGTGAAGCACCCTAAGCACCTCACAAGTGCCGCCATGCCAGTCCTCTTCCACGTGTTCATGTAAAAATTAGCATAGCACGCTTACGAAAATACCTCAAGCACGGCGGGCACGGCCAGTAAACAAATACAGAAGGCCCACATTGTTTGTGTGAAAATGTGGTAATGACACTGAGCATCTTTATGTACTTTTTGGTCATTTGTGTTTCATCTTTGGTGAAATGTCTATTCAAGTCTTTTGCTCTTTTCTTTTAGTTTTTTTTATTGTACTTTAAGTGAAATTTTACAATTCAAGTTAGTCTGTTCATACAAAAATTTATACATACATTGTTTTGTGACCTTGGTTGCTCTCCCTGTACTGTGACAGCACACTTTCTTTCCACTCCAGTTTCCCAAGTCCATTCAACTAGCCCCTGACCCTCTCTGCCTTCTCATCTCACCTCTGGACAGGAGCTGCTCATTTAGTTTCATGTACCTGCTTGAGCTAAGAAGCACACTCTTCACGAGTATCAGTTTGTATCTCATAGTCCAGTCTAATCTTTGTCTGAAGAGTTGGGCTCGGGAATGCTTTTCATTTTGGGCTAACAGAGAGTCTGGGGGCCATGTCTTCCGGGGTCCCTCCAGTCTCAGTCAAACCATTAAGTCTGGTCTTTTTATTAGAATTTGAGTTCTGCACCCAACTTTTCTCCTGCTCTGTCAGGGACTCTGTGTTGTGTTCCCTGTCAGGGCAGTCATTGGTAGTATCCGGCCGGACACCATCTAGTTCTTCTGGTCTCAGGCTGTTGAAGTCTCTGGTTTATGTGACCCTTTCTGTCTCTTGGACTAACATGTTCCTTGTGTCCATGGTGTTCTTCATTCTCCTTTACTCCAGGTGGGTTGGGACCAATTGATGCATCTTAGATGGCCGCTCACTAGCTTTTAAGACTCCAGACCTTTGCCCATTTTTTGATTGTGTTGTTTGTTTTTTTATTTAGCTGTAGATGTTCTTTATATATTCTCAATATTAAACCCTTATCAGGTGTAGTTCCCAAAAATTTTCTCATCATCTGTGGTTTGTTTACTTTGTTGATAAAGTCCTTTGAAAGAGTCTGTTCTTTCCCTGTTAGATGGATTTAGCACCCTTGTCAAAAGTTAACTGACCCTACATGGACAGGTTTATTTCAGGACTCTCAGTTCTATTCTGTTGGTCTATATGTCTATCATTACACCACTACCAGTCTGTTTTGAGATTGAAAAATGTGAGTCCTCCTACTTTGTTCTTTTTCAAGATTAATTTGACTATTCAGGACCCCTTGCAGTTCCTTATAAATTTGAGAATTGGCTTTTCCATTTCTGCAAAGAAGGCTGTTGGAATATTTTTTTTTTCTCTGCACCTTTCTTTTTTTTTAAATTGTGATTTAGGTGAAGTTTATAGAGCAAATTAGTTTCTCATTAAGCAGTTAATACACAAATTGTTTTCGTGACATTCGTTGCCAAACCCGCGATGTGTTAATACTCTCCCCTTCTCCACCCCGCATTCCCTGTTTCCATTCATCCTGTTTTCCTGTCCCTTCCTGCCTTCTCATCTTTGCTTTGGACTAGTGTGCCCGTTAGTTTCGTGTACATGGTTGAACTCTGAAGCACGTCTCTCAAGTGTTGTTGTTGGCCCTATAGACCTAGCTAATCTTTGGCTGAAGGGTGAATCTCAGGAGTGGCTTCAGTACTGAGTTAAAAGGATTTTGGGGGAAGGCTGTTGGAATTTTGATGGGAATTACGTTGAATCCATAGATTGCTTTAAGCAGTATTGACATCGTAACAATATTAAGTTTTCTAATGCATAAGTATGAAACATTTTTCCATTTTTTTAGGGCTTTTTTTAATTTCCTTCAGTAATGTTTTATATTTTTCAGTGTACAGGTCTTTCACTTCCTTGGTTAAATGTATTCCTAGGTATTTTGTTCTTTTAGATGCTATTATAAATGGAATTGTTTCCTTAATTTCCTTTTCAGATTGCTCATTGTTGTTGTATAAAAACCCAGCTGATTTTGCGTGTTGACCTTGTATCCTGCCACTTTGCTGAATTCATTTATTAGCTCTGGTAGCTTTCTTGTGGGTTCTTTGGTATTTTCCATATATAGGATCGTGTCATCTGTGAAAAACAATAGTTTTACTTCTTCCTTCCCAGCTTGGCTACTCTTTATTTCTTTTTATTGCCTGATTTGTTTGGCTAGGGCTTCCAGTACAATATTGAATAACAGTGGTGAGAACAGGCATCCTTGTCTTGTTCCTTATTTTAAGGGGAAAGCGCTCAGTCTTTTTCCATTGAGTATGATATTGGCTTTGTGTTTTTCATAAAATGCCTTTAATCATTTTGAGGAATTTCCCTTGTATGCCTAGCATGTTGAGTGTTTTTATCATGAAAGGGTGTTGAATTTTGTCAAATGCCTTTACTGTATCAATTAAGATGATTATGTGGTTCTTTTTCTTTGTTCTATTAATGTGGTGTGTTACATTCATTTT